GCTGCTGTCTTGACCTTCACCTCTCTGAGCCAGTTTCCTCATCTGCAAGATGGGTTTGTTGTTGCCTAACTTGTAATGTTGAAAGGAGTCAGGCTTCCAATGAAGGGTCAGTCAGACAGGTTAAACCAGCGGTCGCCAACCTTTTGGATCTCGCGGACCACTGGTTGGCACCCCTGGGTTAAACAACTTCCCTAACGGCATAAGGCAGAGCTAGGCCTTGAACTCAGACCCGCCTGACTCTCTAAGAGTATTTTGTGTTGGTTAAGAACATGGGATCTGCAATTAGACTTTGAATCTCGGCTCTGCCAGGTGTGGCCTCAATGGCTTTGGGCAAGTAACTGCTCTGAGTTCAGTTTCCTCCTTTGTTAAATGGGGATTATAATTGACCTGCCTCTGTAGCTGTTCCATGTGAAGGTTGCGCTGGATTGCTTCCTTCAGCCCCTGGTGACTCCCTGTCCTTTGGCTTCTGTCTTTGCAGGAAGTGCACGACCTGCTCAGCGACTATGAGCTCAAGTACTGTTTTGTGGACAAATACAAAGGGACAGGTTTGTGGGGCTGTGGGGTGGGCTAGTGGCAAGGGTGACAGTCCCTGAAGCCAGGTGCTTTCTGGCCCGTTATCTTCTCTCCTGAATTTTGGGCTCAACCTCCTCTAGGCCGGCACAAGACAGACTGTTGCCCCAATCTTTTCTGGGTGCTCATTATGGAGCAGTCTTGATATTCCTGATCTTCCTCCAGGCTGCTCAGCCAGATACCTGAGCATTGGGCTTCCCCACTTCCCACACCATACTCCCAGCCAGTCACCGAGGCCTGTCTGGTCTTTGTCAAGACCTCCAGAACTATTAGGGCTCCTCCATCTCTGTCAAAATGTCAATCACCACTGGCCTCTCCATGATTTCACACTCCTACTTGCCCTCCCCCAGGGAGCCAGGGTCTATCAAATTTGATCAGTTGATTGCAAATCTGATCAAACCTAATTCTAGCCCTCCAGTGGGCTCAGTGGTTGAGCATTGACCCATGAACCAAGAGTTTGATTCCTGGTCAGGGCACATGTCCGGGTTGCTACCCAGTAGGGGTGTGCAGGAGGCAGCCAGTCAATGATTCTCTCTCATCATCGATGTTTCTATTTCTCTCTCCCTCTCTCCTCTCTCTGAAATGAATTTTAAAACTCAAACATATAAAAACAAAAAAAAACTAATCCTAACCTGATTGTTTTTCTCTCCTCAATACCTGTCTGAGGCTCCTCTTGACACTATCTTGCAAGGATGTGCCCCAGCCTTGCCACCTCCTCAGTGGCAAGCTTCCAGGCGTTCCCTCTGCCTCTGTTCTTAGCTGTCCCTCTTCTATCCAGGCACAGGCAGGCAGCTCCTCAACAGTGCCCTGCGTGCCTCTCCCCATCACTCTGGGCTGTTACTACTGGCTCGCTCACTGCCTCCTGCACTGAGTGGTCCTCTCCATGAGAACAGGGACAAGTCCTGTCAGCCTTGCACCCCCCACCTTGTGGGAGACCCTCGGTGGGTGTCTGTGTCCTCTAGGCCTTGTGCTTGCAATCTGTAACTTGGGTGAGAAGCAGGTGAGGACGGGGACCCTGGAGACCTACCTGGTGGGCTAGGGTAAGTGGTTAAAATCTTGGGACCTGGAGACAAATAGACCTGGGTTCGAGTCCTGGTCTGTCCTCACTTGGAGGCCAGAGGCAAGTGATTCACCCTTCCTGAGCCTCAGTTTTCTCACCAGCAAATTGGGCTTGACCTGCTTGGGTTGGCCACAAGGTAAAACACATTAAAATCATTAAAATACTAAAGGCTGTGGGTGTCTGGCACCCAGTAGATACTTAGTAAACACTGGCAGGGGCAACAAGTCAGAACTGTTTTACTAAGTACCTCTTCTGTGTATATGCCAGGTATTGAGGTTCCAGAGGTTAAGTGACTCTCATTATAGTGTTTTTCAATAAATGTTTATTATGCGCCAGTATATGCTGGGACACAGGACACAGCTGTGAACCAAACAGCGATGGGCTAGTCTGGGGGGAGAATGTCATTCACACAACTGCAGGCGTGAAGGTGAAGTGGTCATAGGACTAGAAGCTACTGGGTGCTGTGGGAGCCCAGAGCTGTGATCTGAAATAGGGGCAGTCAGGGTAGGCTTCATGGGGGAAGTGATGTTTGCAGTCAGATTGAAGGGAGGATCAGGATGAACCAGGTGAAGAAGGGGAGGTCAGTGTTCCAGGGAAATACAGATGCAAAGGCCTGCGCGGGCATGTGCCTGGCATAGTCCAGGAAGTAGCAACAAGAGATGGGAGAGGAGGTTAGCAAAGACTGGCCACACGGGCTCCCTTGTCCCTGCAGTGAGAAGCCCCTGGATAAGGCATGGCACATTCTGATAATCATTTTGAAAAGCTAGCTGTTGGCTGGACAGCAAACCAGGAGGGCAGCAGGACTGAGGCTTAGGCCAGGGCTCAGACATGAGAGGTGAGAGGTGTTGGCCTAGAAAGGTGGTGAGGACGGGGTGCAGAGTGGGGCTGTGGAGCCTGTTTGCTTGGGTTCAAGTCCAGGCTTCTCCCCTCTGTTAGAGGTGCCGCTGCTCTGCACTCATTTCCTTGCTGGCACAATGGTGGTTATGAGGAGTAAGTTATTCCCATTTAACAGATGGGGAAACTGAGACCCCCACAGCCACTTAAGCTGGAGTTGAAACCAAGCTCTAGTGACCACGTGCTTGACCACTACTCTCTGTGTCACCCAAGTTACTCACCTATTGTCACCTAGCCAGGTGCACAGTGTATAAGAGTGCAGGTGAGCTCATGAGTAGGTTGAGAACGGTGAGGGGTGAGGGCAGGGAGCAGGCCTCCTGGAGGTAGAAGTTGCTCAAGGCTGGCAACTATCTAGTCCACTGGGGCCTGAGGTGTCTTAGTGGGTCAGTATTCTGAGATCACACATGGTTTAGGAGAAGTAAGGGCGGGCAGCCATGGGGCCGAGGGGCAGGCCCTCCGGGACCCCACTGACCCACTCCCCTCCTGCTGCAGCCTTTGTGACCCTGCTGAA